TGAAATCGAAGCACTGAGCTATAAACTTCTGATCTGACTGCTCATTTGCAATAACATCCCTTGGGCCCCCTATGCCCACATCCAGATCCAGAGACTGGCTCCGCAGAAACATACATCATCCGCTGCAGTGGCTACCAAACCTATTCCTCGACTTGAGGGGGGTAGAGTGGAAAGGTTGAGTTCCTGGCGGTGAAAATTGTTTCAGGAGTTAGTTGTGGGGAGGGGTACGCCATGACGGCAAAGCTCGGATCATCTTCTCCGACTATTTTCCATTGTGTGTAATCTCTTCTGACTTTACTGGTCTATACCAGATTCACCCCGGAGCCACCATCCCTTTTGCACCTCTGGAGGGACATACGGCCAAAGAAGAAACCTCTTCCTATCAGATGGCATGAGATCAACCACCAGCCCCTGTTCCAAACCCGGACCCTGCTGGACGACTTAGTTGGGGAGTCCCTTTTCCCTGTGGAAAAAGACTCGTTTTTGGCTATTTGGGGGGGGGGTAAAAAGGGTGTCTTCTCCACTGGGGGACCTATGGAACACCCCTAACGAAAGGTGGTACTCTGCAAGGAGCTCAGGAAACAGTGAAAAAAAAATGAAGGGAATCCTCGACACCTGTCAAACCCATTTGGAGCAGTCCCTCTTTCCTTGGTTGTAAGAAAGACAAAGGAAGGGCCCGAAGGTGCAGGAGGGAGGGGGACTGGGTAATCCCAGCCCTCTCACTACCTGTAGAAATGACGACATACAACGTCTATTCAAAAAGGACTCCCGTGGTGTGCCTCCACGCCTTTGACCTTGTCCTCCCAGGAGCCAGATGGACAATGCTGACAAGGAATGAAGAGTTGGACACAGCTGTTTAGGGTGAGGGTGTTAGAGGGACATCAAGATGGGTAATTCTCTGTATGAACCGAACACTCCCATATGCCAGCTTCCCCTTCGCCCCTCTTTTTTTTTTATTATGAGAAAACATGGGCTTTGTAAGGACCTGTCAAACACGGACTGAGAACACATCTGATTTCTGAGTTTTGCCGCTAGAATGAATGCGTTGCTGAGATTCCCGATTTCTACTGAGTTTCCTAAGTCTGTGTGTGTGTGTGTGTGTGTGTGTGCTTGCTGGCCTGCGTGGCTGTCGGAGTGTTTGTCAGCCTGAGTGTGTGTGTGACCCACAAGGGCACTTGTTTGTTTGGGAGGCCCCGCAGGGCCGGTACTTACCTGTGCCATGACTTTGAGGGTTGCAGCGGGGAAAACACTCAAGTGGCGGGAGTAGGCCTGCGACACTTACTGCAGCGGGAAAAAAAAAGCACTCGAGTAGTAGGTAGGGTGGTACCCACTCAAGTAGCAGTAGATGTGCCGGGAACTGGAGGCCGAGCAGAAGAAGACAAAAGTAGCATTTTTAGAGGCCCAGCAGCGGTAGGCTAGGTCTAGGCCGGTACCAGTCCAAGTAGTCTGTAGCCTAGCGCCTGTGCGAACAATATCAGAGCCTGCAATGATGTTTCCTTCCGAAAGGGAGGAGGTACCGGTTGTTTGGAGGCTGCGCGGCCTGGAAGTCACCACCCAAGAGGCAGGTTGGCCGCTATATCTCCAGGCTGAGCGAGAGGCTCAGCCTCACTTTGCTGCGTGCAAGTTTTTTGGCGTCATGCTGCCTGCAAAGAGAGAAGTTAGGTTATAAGTTATTCCTGGTACTGGAATTTATTTATTTATTTATTTATTTATTTTTGGGTTGGCTCTAATCATCGCAGCCAGTGCTTCCATCACAAAGACAAAAAGATGCACCTTGTCTCACCGGCATTTGTAACAGAAAAGGGTGGGGCCAAGTGAACAATTAATAATTTAATATTGCATCTGTTGTAGCTTTCCTATGAAGGATGTTGATCCAGTTGGTGAACATGTAGCCAAAACTCATTTGGCTAGGCACATGTCAAGAAAGTCCCAATAGATGTGATCATATGCCTTTTCAAAATCAATGAAGAGAACAAGCACATCTATTCCCCTCTGCCATGCATTTCTGACAAAAGGACCCATGACAAGTGATTTTATCACTCTTGTATTGAAGTTCTTACCCCCCCGGTGCTAGCGGTGTCTGCTCTTACCAGCACCTCTAGCACCGGTGAGGGCTGTTTTTGTAAAAAAAAAAAAAAAAAAAAAAAAAAAAAAAGTTCTTACCCTCTAGGGCCTCTACCCCATGTGGCCAACCGTGAGGAAGTCCATGGACTCTTCTTTGAAAAGCTCTCAGAAGTGGAGCCATACTTCTTCAGGAAAAGAGTCGTCATGGGGTCTTTTGGTCGACCATGTCCCGCTATATAACCGTTTGCGCGGCACTTCAACCACCAGTAGTTGGCCCAGCTATGGGCCGTGGAAAAAATAAAATGAGTAGAAACGTTTCTAGTCGGATGAATTTGGCACTCCTGTAGTGACCCGTACATTTCCTAAAGGCCGTGGCCTGCTAACGGGCACGGCTTTAGGAAGTACTGGTGGTTTAAGTGCACGAGTGCAAGCTTAAGCGCGCTCAACCCCCCCCGACGCGGGCTCAAAAGGACTCCATCCCTCTCAGAAGTGGAGCCATACTTCTTCAGGAAAAGAGTCATCATGGGGTCTTTTTGGCGACCATGTCCCACTATGTAGCCGTTTGAGCGTGCTTAAACCACCAGCAGTTGGCCCAACCATGGGCCGTGGAAAAAATTAGAGTAGAAATGTTTCTAGTCGGATGAATTTGGGCACTCCTGTAGTGACCCGTACATTTCCCGTACATTTCCTAAAGCCATGGCTTGTTAACGGGCACGGCTTTAGGAAGTACTGGTGGTTTAAGTGCGCGAGTGCGAGCTTAAGCGCGCTCAACTTCCCCCCGACGCGGGCTCAAAAGCATTCAATCCTGTTTCTTGCACGCACACAGCCCAAAAGATGAGTGTGCGCGCCTGACGGGGGCCCTCGCATGAAGGGGAACACTTGGGGGCTGTTGCGCGTGGAGGGGATCCGAGGATTGTTTTGGGGTTTTGGTGGCTGAGGTGGAGGGGGTTAGTGGCTCTCTGTGTCTATATATATACATACATACACAGACACACTCGCACTTATAGTTTGTCACAACCCCTCGTTTGTTACCCTCTTCTCCCTCTCTGCGACGGTTTACCAGGTAGTTCTATTTGACGATATATAACATCATTTTGGCTCACCGGCGGAAGGGAAGAGCCTGGTAGAGCATGCCGCCTCTCTCTCTCTCTCTCTCTCTCTCTCTCTCTCTCTCTGTGTGTGTGTGTGTGTGTGTGTGCGTGTGTGTGTGGGGGGGGGGGAGGTCTCTGTGTGTGTCTTCTTTTTCTGGTTTTTATGTTTTTTTTCTTTTTAAAAAATAAAAAATAAAAAAATATATGGTTGTAGATCTCTAAAAGATCTACAAGACTGCAACTCTTTTTTTTTTTTTTTTGCCAGAAACAAAATCTCTGTGAAAAAAAAGAAAAACCCACCCATTTCATTTTTTTCTTTCAGTTTTATATTTTAAAAAAATAATAAAATATAGCAAAACTTCAAAACATAAAATAAAAGTATGGGGTTGTAGATCTCAAAAAGTTCTACAAGTTCTAGGTCCGGTAGTTGTTGCTGCAAATCCGATTCCTCTATTCTCAGACGATGTTCTTCTGAAGGCTTATTTCTTAAAGCACCAGTACATGGGCACCTGGGCCGCAGGCCTGACACCTCAAATTCTGTAGACGCGAAACGAAAACCCGACCACCGATCGAGTTTATCAACGGCGGGCCCATCGTTTGACATTTTGGCCTCGTTTTCTAGTGGCAACAAGTTTCGGACAGCAAGGCTGGGGCCATGTACTTGCGGTTTAAGCGAGCATGCATTTAAACCACCAGTAGTAGTACTTCCTAGAGTCGTGCCCGTTAACGAGCCACGATTTTAGGAAACGTAAGGGCCACTACTGGAGCGCCCAAATTCATCCGACTAGAAACGTTTCTACTCTAATTTTTTTTTCCGCGGCCGATAGCTGGGCCAAGTACTGGTGGTTTAACAGAAAAGGTGGCAAGCTTCTAGAGCAGCATTTTGACGCCGTTGGCCATACTGACATGAGGATCTCTTTGACTGAATCTGGGCATGATTGAGGTCTGATACATCACAAAAAGCGAGGGTGCGAGTACACCCGAGCCTGACATCGTGTTATGTTATCCTATGATCTGTGCGTGGAGAGCGACCATCCTCTTTTGTATCGCACAATGGTCTCTACCAGACTCATCCGATACAAGCAATGGTGCTTGTCTTGCCAGTCTTGCCTCCGCATTTCTGATGAGAGGCCCAATCTAATGATGTTGCCCATGCTTCTGTTAACTTATAATTTCCTTTTATATCTATATATATCGTCACAAAATAGATATAGTTGTATTTCTTTTATATACTTATTTTTATATACTTATATTCATATAATAAAAAAAAAGATTCTCTTAAAATTATGAATTATAATAATAAAATCTATAGATAGATATAGAATAGTCATAAAAAAATACAAACATCAATATTTAAGGATAGATATTAAATATTTACAGATCATAGTGGTCCAGAAACAACACTTTCCAATCAATCACAATGTCAATACACTTTGCAAGAGGCCCTTATATATCATAGAAAGAAGAGAAAAAAAACACAAACCGTTACATACCCACGAGCATCATCAGCTCGTGCCTCAGCATTTCCCCCGTCTTTCTGCTCCGGTACTCAGTTGCCAACTTGTCGTGACCAGCTCAAGGCATCAAAGACCTTGTTTGTCACTTGCTCTCATATTTATCCTGAACCCCACTCCCCAACTTTCTCCTCCCTATCGCATCCTGCTCGATCAGCTCATCCTTGCAAAATGACGAACATCCGTGTCCTAAGAGCCCACCATACCATTGGCCCAGTTGGGCCACCGCAGATCCACAATCAAATATACCACTGAGCTGCAGCAGGTTGTACCACTGCAGAGACCCACAATCACTGATGCAACGGCAGGGGGGAGGGGGGGATGTGCTCCTCTCACATTACACCGTTTATTACGACAAGCTGGATTAGCCCTCCACACAGTTACAGGTGATGCCCTCGCTAACCAAGAACCAAGCGAAGCCTGAGCTATTGCTCTCCTCGATATCAACCTGACGCCGGTGACAGTCATGAAGAAACCGTCCATCGCCAGTCCTGCCTCTCCCACTCTACAGCAGCACCACCACCTTCCCTTATCATTCTCTGAAGGACGATCTCTTATAAGGCGACTTCTCTCAATCAAAATGATGACACAGGAGTAATCTCCCGAGAATACACTAGACGAATCACCGGACATCCTCAGAATAGGGATAGAAAGCAAGCAAAGGCAGTGCTTTGAACATTCTTTGCATATTCTTAGGAACGGGATAGAAGCAAAGCGACGGGAAGCAGAAATACAAAGTAAACGCACCATGAAGAAAGAATGTACAAAACACACGAAAGGCGACTGCAGGCCAGGCAGCACCGTATCTATTTTCTTACCTCCTAATACCTCTTCTCCTGCTGACTGTGAGCTAGTTGTAAATTGTGATATCTGGTAGATGTGCCCGGTCCGGTGCAGCAGACATCCAACCCTCTTCATCTGTGAACACTGAGGACGCAGTGAGGAGGCAAGGTGCACAATCATGGCATGCCCATCGCATGAGAGTGAGTGAGTGGCCTACAATTGGAGGCACCTTTGATGGTTATCACTTTTTTTTTTTTTTTTTTTTTTTTTTCAAGGCACTTGTCACTTGAGCGATTGAATCAGTGACCATTCCCGCCAGCAGCGCCTCATCTTCCTTTCGAGCCCAGAACCTAGACAAGAAACAGTATCGCGCAGTAAAAAAAAAAAAGGATATCAAATTATCAATCATGCCCAGATGCACCGACCGCCCTCAATGACAAAGGGCATCAACCCATCAGGCCGCATTAAACCTGCTCAGTCGTCAAGCGCGCACCAGCTCTACAACGATAGAAAGGTGAACGGGTGATGTGGGTATATGCTCTATCCACCTCTGAACCATCACAGAAATAATACAAGCTGCCCACCCGACGAGATACGGCGTTGCAAAGTTCGTCAACCCATCATGCAGCATGGAATGGATGTCATCACTGGAACCTGTCCAGGGGTCAAGTGTGCCTCAGCTCTACTACAAGGACAGAGGGTGCACTACTGATATAAGCACCCTCCATCCACCATTGAACCATCAGAGAGATAGTACAAGCTGCCCATCAGATACGGCATTGCGGCACACACCCGAGCTCTTCGCACGTATGATCCCTTGTATGCTATAGCTTGGTCGGTCACCGCACGCTCCGATTAGAGCAGCACGAGAAGGAGGATGACTGATGTATGTATATGTATTATATAATAGGTCCTCACCGTAGCAAACGGCCCAAGGGTATGAAACAATCTACAGCTCCAGACTGAACACAGTCACAACCGCGCTCTTGGGTGCGAAGATCCACGATGCGTGCAATCACCTCCTGCGCTGCCAATTTGACACAACGATGCTCTTGGGTGCGAAGATCCACGATGCGTGCAATCACCTCCTGTGCTGACAATTTGAGCAGCAATGCCAGTTGAATGCTGAATGCGTTCCTCTTGCAAAAGCCGAAGGATAGACTATGAAAAACTGTACACGGGCTCCTTGACCGGAAGACTGCCTCTGATTTGCAATGTAAGCAGAGTTTACCAGATGGCAGCGATGAGTAAATGAACTCACTGTCACACCCGCGCGCTTTTCAGTGCGAAGATCCACGATGCGTGCAATCACCTGCTGCAAATGTCAGCCACAACGCCAGTTGGATGCTGAATGCGTTCCTGTTGCAGGAGCTGGCTGAGGAATAAGAGGGGATATGAAAACTGTACACAGGCTCCTTGATCGGAAGACTTCCACTGATTTGCAATGTAAACGGAGTTTACGAGGTGGCAGCCATGAGTAAACGAACTTACTGTCACAACCATGCTCTAAAAGGGTGCGACAATCCACGATGCGTGCAATCACCTCCTGCGCTGCCAATGTGAGCTGCAATGCCAGTTGGATGCTGAATGCGTTCCTCTTGCAGCAGCTGAGAGATGCAAGGGGACTACGAAAACTGTACACAGGCTCCTTTACCTTCCCGACTGCCACTGATTGACGACGTAAGCCGAGTTGTTTACCAGATGGCAGCCACGAGTACATGAACTTGCTGTCACGTGCAGCCTCGATAAAAATATCTTGTTGCGTACACACGATATCATAGACGCTTCCAGGACACCGCCTCAGGAAGAACAATGAAGCACTGTACAATGGGTGTCCGTCTGTATGATCAGGGTATGTATGAGAACCCACCCACCAGCACTATGAGCGTACGTATATGAGAACCCACCACCAGCAATTGAATCACATATTCTGAATCGATCTGATTGATATGGTAATGAACATCTGACACTCCTTGGTTGGAGGTCATCTCAAATATGACAGGTCATTGAATCATTGAATCATTGTACAAGATCCTCTGGCCTACAAACATCTGGCCAGACGACGTCATCGCATTCCATTACAGACTGTGTCGGGGTGGCGTGAATATGCTTCACAAGGCCCAGAAAAAGGAGTACAGCACTCAGAAACCATCGTCCGACCGCTGCCCAACTGCTACACAAATTGCACAGAGAATCGATTATTCATCTGCAGACTATTTCTTAAATTTCAGTGAACTGCCACAAGACCTCCTTCCTTGGTACAAAATGCAAAGGTGTTCTTGCCGTATGCGCCTCTGCAGCGGCCCCGATAATGGCCATGGTGACATGCATTCTACACTCGTGAAAAACAGTAGCTGGCCTCAAGTTACGCAAGGAAAAAATAAGAAAAGAAACCTGAAGCAAATGAAAAATGAAAAAAGAAACAGGCAGGCAAACAAACAAACAAACAAACAAACAAACAAAGAAAAAGAAAATTGAAGCAGGCAAATGTGTGCAACCTCTATGAGCAAGCAAATATTCACAATAAGGCACCGCATAAGCAGGGCGCCTCTTCTTGGACACACACCTGCTGTGCGGCAGGGGTACCGGATGCAAGTATTTGCCGTCTCGCGCATTCTGGCAGGGGGTGCGTACAGTGCCGTACACACATGAAAGATAAAAGAGTGGCACTTTCCCTGGATACATTTTCTACCGTCTTCCCCGGAATACAACATACAGCCATTGATTCTATATTTGGAGCAACTTCAAGTCTAGAGACAGCCATAATGACCATGTTACGTTATCTTCGGGGGAAGATGGTAGCTAATATGGCTAAGTGTACCAGAAATGAAATCAGAGGAACACTCAGGAAATACCACAAATTATGCCTGAGCTGAGCCAGAATGTACGTAAACTGGTCGTTGCCCAAGCACTGACCTCATCATCTTCAACTGCACGGATACGCCAACAGGTAACTCTGACACAGGACAGAGCTCACTGACGATGCCGAGACGCTGCGATCGTTGGACAGAGTGCTCCTGCTGATAGAGACACAGCCCAGGCATTCATAACCGGAAGCACTACTGCTTGCTTGCTGGAATCGCAACAGTGCCTTATCACTCCGTGACACCTTGTCATTCCAAATTATCCGTTTGTGTCGGTCGATCCTGCCTTAACCTCTACCGAAGCTGACCCGTTTGCTTGCACGCAGCGCGCACCATCATCTGCAACTTCACAAATGAATCACGGTCAGAGAACCTGAGCTCCCATTGGGAATTTCTGCTCTCCTCGTCTTTACAGGGATGAGGGGGATCAGCATCTCCTCCTTTCTGAAGCTCTCCAGAAAGTTTCGACGGATCGCTCAACATCTGCTTCTGCGATTTCTTTGCCTCCGTTCTCTCCATGTTTGCGCCATCGTCCTCCCTATGGGGACGAAAACCGAACAGGCGAGGGAGTCGATGCCGCCGTGAAACCATTGTTGCAAGACTCGTGCTTCCCTCTTCTTGGTCTGGAGTACGGGGGCTAGCGCCACTGGCCGTAGGCAGGAACAGAATGCGAATCACGTTACTTGATCCATCTTCGTAGCTTTCCTGTGATCATGGAACGAAACAAAGTGCGCAAAAGACAAACATGCAAGTCAAAGGGAAAGAGAGAACTCTGGAGCTACTACTGCCTTTACAGTGTTACACCTTTCCACCTAGCTCTCTCTGTATCTAGGTTAAGAAACTCCAGGGTTAAGAGATTCCAGCAACGCGACTACAGAAAACCGGAGCGGACGGTGTCTTTCTTATAGGACATTAATGCTTCTTTTCGTGACTTTAGTTCTGGCACATCCTCATTTTGCTTGCTATCTCCCCTTTGCATGTTCCCCAAAGATGTTTCTGTGAGCCTGTGCCTTGCTTGAGACTTCGTCAGAGTGCTGATCGTGATCTTCATTCTTCGCATTTCTTACTCTGTTGTGCTTGACAGCATGCTCAACAAAGTACTTTATACTTTCAGCGATTTCAATTTCACTAGATGATTGCACCTGACAGGTTTGGATACCACCATGGCTACTAAAGTACATTGAGCCCGTCTCAAAGTGTGGAGTGCGAGGGGGAGCATGGGCGTCTTCGGGAAGGCCCTTGTCATAAAAAACTCGATGCACGCCATGCGGGTGCTGTTCATATGCCGGGGAGGCGCACCTTTCGGTATCTTAAGAAGGCGATCCATGCACATTTGTGGGCCAACAACGCGGAGGTGGAAGACTCCATATGCAGGGTGGACTGGAACAAGCTCACTCAGCCGAAACGGTTTGGCGCCCTGGGATTCCTCGACCCATGGTTGCATATCATCGCTTTGCAGCTATGGCAGCTACTCTGGCACCTCTTAGGCACGGTGGGACGCGCTTGGCAAGAGGTTACCCGGACTCATCTTGCATGCACTGCAAGTGAGACGGAGGTGGTGGACCTATGCCTGCTGGACAACAACGCGATTGGCCACATCCGCAGGGTCGCCGTGTGGTCAACTAAGCTGGCACGGTGGAAGGAGGTATAGGTGAGGTGTCGCCTGCCGGAAACTCCAGACGCAGTCTTTACTCAGCTGCTGTTTGGGAACAGGTTCATCTGCGACGCAGGCAGAGAGCCCTTGCCATGGCAAAGCCCGCGGGGAGCCTACGGATGGAAGTGGGCTGAACAAGATATCAACAAAGTGGGCCATTTATGCGACGAGGAGCGAAAGGACTGGCACCCGGATAGTGAGGTGCTGGAATCCCGGCAGGGCCGGATGAAGAGGCGACAAAGGGTGGGAGAGCTTCGAGAGCCCATTCCCCCCCCAGTGGATCGAGTTGTTGAAGAACAACGCAATCACCTCGGGGGAATGGGTGAGGGTGCGCGGCGAGACCAGACCGGACAGAATATAAATAGGGTGTAACAGGTGTCGACAGATGGGAAGTTGTAAGTCACCAGATGACACGTAAACACTGGGTACGAAGGGCTGGGGGAGCCCCTGCAGGAGGTCACCACAAGGGAAGGGAGCCCCTGGAAAAGGTTGGATAGGTCCATGATTGAAACCATGACAGTGTGCGAAGGAGGGAAGAAGGGAGAGAGACAACACCTGCCGTTCCGGATTGCATCCAGGCGGCGAGACTTAGCATGAGACCCGACGGAATGGGAATGGCCAAAGCAAAGGACACAGAGAAAAGATGTGCCACTCCAGACTCTCACTACAAAGAATATCTACAATTCCTTACTGGAGCCGGTGGAAATTTACGGGGAGCTGAAGACTCGATGGGCCAAAACTTCCCAAAAGAGACTGGATTCCGGACGACTACTTCAAATAGGTGGATGCAACGGCGGTGGAACGAGCAATGTGCTATCTTGGCGGCCCTGCCAGATCAGTAGCATGTGGGTCTGCTATGAATCAAATCATATTTGATTTGACCTTCGGAAAATCCGCAGCTGTATCATTCATCTGGCGATCCACACAGCGCAATGGCTAGCAGCCAAGAGCCGATGCAAGGATCAGAGATGGGCAGCTGGCTGCGGACAAGTGGAAACCATAACCCATCTGTTTGTGAGGTGCCCGATAGTGTGGGCTTTTGGGGAATGGTGGGCGCAAGAGATAGCGAACGAGTCCCCACTCGATGTCACGGAAACGGATGATGCCGCTATCCTTCTGGGGGCGTTGATCAAAGTGGATAGGGCAAAACCAGAGGACTTGATCGTGGCTGAAATCCTGAGGGCGGTGGTGTTATGGGCCCTATGGACCCTGAGGAACGAGCGCTGTAGACAGGGTGCTTTCCCCCCCCTGCAGGTATACCAGGAAAGGGCACTGGAAAACATTTGAGTAGCCCTCCTGGCGGACCTGCACCGATGTAGGGGCACAGGAGAACGGAAGGAGGAATGTTTCTGGGCCAGATGGGGCCCGTATCAGCAACTGCTCACCCGAACCCCCGTACGGGCCACATGCAGTTCGGCCCGGTATTGCTTCGCCATGCGCCTCAAGGCTAAAACGGGGGAAGAATCCGGCCAGGGGGCAGGATCGTCATAAAAAGCAACCAATATGTATAACGGTTAGAAAGGTAGGGCGAAGGCACCGTCTAGAGCCAGTTAGCTTGTAGTATATTAGGGTAGGTGGGAAAAGGAGGGAAAATAGGGGGGCCATAGGTAGGGGGGTTTATGAGGGGGACTAGCTGGTAAAAGGGTGGGGGCGGGGAAGGAGTGACAGCACCGTCCAGGAGGAGGAAGAAACACCAGGAACACAGAGATGCTAAGGGGATAGGAGGCACCAAACGCGTCAACAACATTACTGCTGGGGTTAACAATGACGAGGAGTTACAAGGGTAGCATGGAGTCGGACTGTAGGGTGATAGGCAGGATCAGAGGCAAGGGGATACAGAGATTGAAACGGGATACAGCATACAACACAATGTGGGCAAGAGAGACAAGGTGGGAAAGTGACACATGCTGAGAGTTGGGCTCATCTAGGATGTGATGATTGGGTGCTGGCAGGTTGATAGGTGGCCAGTGGAACTGCTGGGGATGCTCCCCCCCCGTGCCCCGCCATTCTGAGGGCTTCCCTGCTGCGTGGCTGGGTGCTGCTAGTAAAGCCTCCCGGCCAGCAGGGGAGCTCTCTGAGAAAGGCCACGGCTTGGGGGGGTGGGACACCCTATAGCAGTTCCTCCCCTTGCCAGGCGACTAGTCCCACAACGGCAAGGCTGATCTTCTCTTCCGTCTGTTCTTCCCCCTTCTTCGGATGTATAAACATGTTTGTCGGTGATAAGTAACCGGACTGTTGGCCCCCAGAATAGAAGGGGTAATGTTGTTTCGGGGAAAAAAAAAAAGAAGAAGAAAAACAGGAAGCGCTTACCACTCGTTGCACATCGTTCAGAGTCCGTGAACACAGCTGGGTGAAGTAGGGTTCTGGTTTTGGTGCAGGACTTGAAGCTGTATGCTGTTGTCTCTTCTTCTCAGAGAGATTGGATTGAAGGCATAAATCCCTGCCTTGGCAAACCCCGCTGCCAAAAGCCCCAAGTTTCTCTTCACAGAGAACTATTTGACGGGATGTGAGAATCAGAGAGCATGACTTCCATAGCTTATCTGTTAAGAGAGATGCAGGAGAGAAAACACACACAGCAAATAGACGTCACAACAGGTCGCAACAGGTCAACAAGCCAGATACTAGCCAGTTTGTGACATCTTGAGGCCAAAAACGAAGACAAACAAGAATTAACAGGTTGAGAGCACAAAACCATGTCAGCGGCGCAATGAAGATATCCATTGCGGAAACTAGCATAAACGAATTCAGTCAGCTATGTGGGAATTTCACACAATGCAGATGACCCAACCAGATATCCATTTCTTTCTCTCTCTCTCTCTCTCTCTCTCTCTCCCTCTCTCTCTCTCTCTCTCTCTCTCTCTCTCTCTCTCTCTCTGTGTGTGTGTCTGTCTGTCTGTCTGTCTCTCTCTCTGTGTCTGTCTGTCTGTCTGTCTGGCTCTCTCTCTGTGTCTGTCTGTCTGTCTGTCTGTCTGTCTGTCTGTCTGTCTGTCTGTCTGTCTGTCTGTCTCTCTCTCTCTGCAGATGACCGAGACAGGTAGAGTTGTGCCCAGATCCAGAATGTTAGCTGACGAGGAGAAGCAGCAGCAGACACAAAACCTCTCTCTCTCTCTCTCTCTCTCTCTCTCTCTCTCTCTCTCTCTCTCTCTCTCTCTGCTCCCCGTTTTTTTGCAGTATATAAGATAGGACAGAGGTATCTGACACAGCAGTCATGCCCATGTGTTCTACAGAGGGAAATAAGGTCTGGTGACGTGTGATTGCTTATCAGTTTCGGGGCAATGTTGCCACTTCGTTACTCACTGAGCCTGTAAGAAGTCCTTGTAACCCTTCATAACTCCAGTGAACTTTCTGAAATTTCAGGACAATGGGGCAGGATTGATATTTCGTGGCACAGTCCTCCAAGATACAGAGGTCACTGCATATGGTCAGACTTATAAACAATAAGTAAATAGGGAGGAGACTGACCCATCACAAAACTTCACTGGTCTACTAAAGATAGAGTAAAGAAAAACTGGGGGTAGTTGCAAGCGCACCAGGGACGCGCAGGACGCCGAGCTAATTCTTTTTGGTTGAAAGAACCACCATTTGGTTAAAAGGGAATATTTCGTGCTTTAGAGGGCACACACCAAGATTGGCTGGGTGCCTATTGATTCAGACAAAAAAAGATCAATCGGGACTCGTGAGTGAGCAAAACAGGCTGAATCCCTCCCCCCCTCCCCCCACAAGAACTACCATGTAAGAGAAAAGAACAGGTGAATAGGGAAGGAGAACGTTGTTGAGTTCTATGCATTTGAAAGATGTTGTGGCCAAGGAAAGGTACTCCAGCCTATCTCCATTCGTACTGCAGAAGATAAAGACGAGGAAAAAAGAAAAGAATTTTTCTTTAATTCTCAACAAATGACAACAATATGAAGAATGCTCTTTGCAAAAGAGCATCCCCAATTTCCCATGACATGGTCAGGATAACACTTTCCCAGATCCATTCTTTGACTATAGTAATCCGCAGCAGATATATATCCGAAGTTTTCTTGCTCTCGTCAACGAGACAGATAATTCGATTCGAGTGGGAACTAAAACCCGCCCGCTCGCTCGCTGTCAAAAAAAAAAAAAAAAGATTCCATCAAATCACAGTCCAAGTTCAAGCTTTTTTTCCAGAGATGTACTTGGGCGCACCGTTATGACAAGAGATTCAGTCTAATAACAGCAAGACTTCCCTTTCTGTACTGTATGCATAGCCACCGCTGGCTTCCGTCGAAATGACTCAAAAATCATGTTAAAGTTAGTTAAACCTTTCCGAGATGTATTTCACCATAGGCCCAGGGAGTTGAGCATAGGAGAGTTGATCCAGGTTCTTATCTCATGGGAGCGGAGGGCAATGGTAGAGTATAGCCTTGCCAAGGCTAAGGTTGAGTGTTCGAATCCCCCTTTTTCCGCTCGTCAGCTTCCTTCTGCAAGGAAAATGAGCGATAGCGAATTCCAGAAACCAAGCAGCATCATACACACGAAACCAGATAGTCGTGACCTTGAACCAAAAGCAGAATTGCAACTCGAGTTCCACCAAATAGGAGACCGGCAAAAGCTCACAAGTGACAATGTTGGAATAGTCTCATCATCATCAACCAAGAACCAATGTCGATTTCCTATCTGGCGCTCTGCGCCCAGACTACGAATGGCAGATCCTATCCAGCCTATCTACAATGCTGATGGTGACGTCAAGTGGCCTGCCCGCTGCGTGCGACCTGGCTGCGCTGGGCCCCTGCCCAGAAGTTTCCGGTAGGCCCCAAGTGTCTGAGCCCCGGTCCAGGGAATCAGGCCCAGGGCCTAGAGCGGTTACCCGTGTTCACCTGCCCTCAGCCTGTGTTCGGCCCATGTTGTGTCTCTAGCCCAGGGCCTGCCTCAGATACATCTGAAAAAGGCAGCCAGGSCCTGGGGCGCTTTCAACCAACTGGCGCTGCGCAACTGCCTGAATTTTCCCAGTTGCGTGGAAGTCCAAAATAGGCCTCTCGTCCTTGGTCGGGCCCTGCCTTCACTTAGGGCGGCCGACATTGCTGGAAACAGGGCCCAGTAGGGCTCGTCGAGGCCTTCTGCCTCGCACTTCGCTGCCTGGCCAAGAAAAGAATGAAGAATGGAGGCGACACGACACCACTCCACCCTGGGGGGGGTAAAAAGGTGAACGCTTCGCGGAAAGAACTTCGTTGGAGATGGACCCAAACTACCTCAGTGGTGAACTGATTCGATTCTCCATACTTCACCGTCTGTACGTGAGTTCAGAAGCCGAGCGAAAAGGAGGAGCACAACCAAACTGTGTGTGTTGTCAAGAAAGCCCCACTTCCCCGGGTCGCCCCGCATTATACATGGACTTCAAGAAAGATGCAAGGCTCCACACTTACTGCCTGGTTCAGCAGGAGGTTCGGACACATCCGTTCGCTCAATGCACGCTTCAACAAATCAAGATTTGGTAGACAGTAATAGACACTCCCCCCTCCACAACATAATCGAATAAAAAACACAGGCGCCACAACCACCTGCAACCCTACCTTCTTCCCACGAACATAACGCATATGTGTTGTATTCGATTTTCCGAATTTGAAAAAAAAATCGAATAGAGCGCATGTGCGTTATATTCGAAAATCAGGAATATTCGAATAGAACGCGTACGTGTTGTATCCGAATAGAACGTACCCTATGCGTTGCATTCGTGAGTTTTCTATGCAACACCACTGGAATCTCACCCGCATGCTGTGAAAACCCTTTGAGCCCGTCTGCGAGCATTTCACAAATCAGGCCTGACACCACGAGGCCCTCCTGCAACACCATGAGTGCTGTTGCTTAAAGCCCCTGGTCCTGCCTTATGTGATCTCAAACAGAAGCCCTTTGAAAAATCACACCCACAGCAAACAGTATCTGAGCCCCCACATGAAGATCTTGCGGCCAAGCCCGTCACCTCCACCCAAAATGTTTTAAGAAGAAAAACAAAAGAAAGAAAGATCTCGCGGGCAAATAAAGATCATGTCCAGCACAAAAGGAAATGCTCATGCCGGGCCAAGAAAAACAGCAAAGAATTTCCGAGGAAACCATACATCAATGAACATGCGGCGCTAAGGTCAATCCGAGAAGCCACATAAAAATTGCCCGCTACCACGAGCCCAATTGTAGGCGCTCAAGATTGAGACTGTCATGTGTGCTTTACTTTATAAACACCCAATATCAACACCCGATCCTCTCAATGGGGACTGTGATAAGAAATAGACAGTGCAAGTTTCACCAAGTGTGTTCGAGTGCTGTAGACTGTCACCAGAACAAACCGTTTTCCACCCAAATGAGTAGATCCCAAATCGAAACAGCTGCACCTTGTAAAATGTTATAGGTGATATTTTTAAATGATTGTCATGTCTTGATAAATGTAATGCTTTGACAAAACGGCCGTTTCATTGTTGTACTCTGCATGGTGCAAGGCCCACAATGTCTGCGTAATTTAAGCATAAAGACGTGTACATGCCCGTTCGTTTTTCAGTACAACTGCGCCTTATATGCATTTAGTAGTCCTACAAGGGGGCAGGAAGGAGGGAATAGGAGGGAAGGGGGGGGAGAGAAGGAAGAAGAGTAGAGGGTGGAGAAGAGCATGGGAAAGAAAAGCCTCATTGGGTCCTCAAGTACCCACCGGCAGAGAAGAATGATAGAGACAGACACAAGCGGCCAGTCAGGGGTCGGGCTGCAGAGCAAAATGAGCCGAGGAGAAGTCATTGTCTGTGGTATCCAGGCAGGACGGGTTCGGGCGTGGCCTCTGGACGCAGGGCATCCAAATGTCACAGTTTGTGTCAAATGGGTTTGCGCAAACACATTTCAGGAAATGTGACTCTCACACGCTAGGAGCACTGAGGCAAGGCCAGCGCTGTTGTTTAGGCACTGCTGTTCCGTCCTGCAATCAGACTCGTTCTCGTTCACACTTTTCATGCATGTAAACAGTAGCGCAGGAAACTGGCGACATGCGCCCACTCAAAACTCAGAGATATGACATCCAGATACGAGTTCACTCTCAATTGGCTATGGCGACTCAGCGCCCAAACAACTCACTGTTCACATACACTGGATCACCCTGGATATCCCACACGCGTCACTCTGAACACTCACAACACACACACACTTCACACTACTCTAGCTATGGCGGCTATGGCCGCAGCTACCCTATCGCTATGCTACGCTCCTCCTCTCTGCCCACTTCGTCCTCGGGCGTCACTGCAGACCTCCTTGCACAAGTCGCTGTGGCAGCGCTTCCGCATGGCTCACGCAGGAATGAATGAA